ATGATATTGTCATAACTGGGAGTTTTGATGATCTTGTTGAGGAGATTGTCCGTATGCTTGGTAAAGAATTTTCTTTAAAGGATCTTGGTGAGTTGAGTTTTTTTCTTGGTCTTGAAGTTGATCGATGTCTTGACGCTTTGCTTTAAGCCAATGTAAATATATTCGAGAGTTGTTGGAACGTGCAGAGATGAGGGATGCTCAGTTGGCCCCTACGCCTATGTTACCATCTCCCAAATTGTCTCGTTATGGTGGTAGACCTCTTGATGATCCTCAAGTGCATCGTAGTGTTGTGGAAGGATTATTATATCTTAGTCACACCCGACCTGATATTTCTTTTAGTGTGGGGTGTGTTGCATAATACATGCACCAATCGTGTGAGTTACATTAGTTAGCCATCAAACAAATTTTACGTTATTTGAGTGGTACTATTAATTATGGATTGTTGTTTCGTGCTTTTGGAAGTGATCTTTCGATTCGAACGTTTTCGGATGTGGATAGGGCAAGCAATTCGGATGATCGTCGATCCATTTTGGGTTATTGTGTATATATTGGTGACAACCTTGTTTCTTGGTGTTCAAAGAAACAAAGGTCGGTATCTCACTCGAAGACGGAGGTTGAATATCGAGGAATAACTTATGTTGTGTCTGAAATCTTGTGGTTACAAGCTCTTCTTGGTGATATGGGCATTGAATCTAATGTCGTTCCGATTGTGTGGAGTGATAGTACAAGTGTCGTGGCAATGAGCGCTCATCCTGTTTTTCATGCGAAGTCCAAGCATGTGGAGTTTGACGTCCATTTTGTTCTAGAGAAGGTTGCCAACAGTTCAATTTGTATCAATTATGTTTCTGGACGTTTTCAATTAGCAGAGGATTTACCAAGTCTCTTTCAAAATCATAATTTTCTACGTTTCGTTAGAAGCTAAGCATTTAGCAGTTTTGAGTTTTTTTGAATTGTCACTATGCAGGGTGAATGTTAGCAAGTGACGATATTTTAAAAGTTGTTGGTGTATGGGGTTCTCAGTTAGTGTGTGAGCTAAATTTTGTTGTATGTGTGGCCCTAAGAAGGTGAGCTGTTGAGCGGTTATCTGTGAGTGTGGAAAGTGTGATATTACACGATATAACATGTAAGAGGTGAGGGTTTAGAGTAGCTTTTCCACAATAATAATAAAGAGAATTTAAAAGTCAAACAGGAGGTGTCCACTGACTTATTAACATATATTGGTAAAATAAAAATCCCAAACATCCGTTGTCTCATCTTCAAAATGATCAATGCAATGAGGAAAATATTTCATTGATCATATTGCGTAACTACTAGTAACAATAAATGATTATATTTACCATACAACTGCGTATCATCTACTTAGATTATACGTTTGCAAAAATATAAATCATTTTACGCATGACTTGAATGCCCAAGAGAGTATGAAATATTCTTCCCTAGAATAAGCTGATATTCTTTGTTGTATCAGTATACAGACATAGTTTGAGACTTCACTATGGTTCTCGAGATGAATCATTTCATTGCTTGTAACAAATCTGGTAGCTTATTGTACGATGTATCTCAATTGTCATACGTTAGTTTTATTGTCTTATCCTTCGCATTTCAAACCTTGGCGTATTCTTTATGGTATCCAAACTAGCTTCGAATAGATGCAACTAACAATGAACAAGATATCGTTGGATTTTTGTAATGTCGAACGACTAAGATGTTGACATGTGTCAACAATCCAATGGTCAGTAAAATTTATAAATAGAGGTGAGTTTTATCATTATAGCAAGAGTAAAAAAGATGGTTAAGAGTATCAAAAGAGTGAGTTGGAGAAAGAGATCTTAGAGGTAGAGAATAGAAAAGTAGTGGGATAAGGGTGTAATATTATAATTGTATTTTTTGTATTAATAAAAGTGTTCTTTTCTCTTAATTTTTCTGGTTAAGCCTTAGTTATTGTAACTTTTCACTGCACTTGTGTTCGTATATTATTGACTTTGTCGACTAATATATGATTAGTTATACCATCTAATTGACATATGCTCGGCTTTGTCGCCTAAATAATATATGTTCAGTCATGTTGTCTAAGTATTATTGTGTACTAAAAAATTATAAAATAGAAGGATAACCAACGTCAAAGGGTTGATGGAACATTAGTGTGATATCATAAGGCGTCTGTAGTGGGTGAGGTGTACTCATCAAAATTTCCAATAATAAAATTAAATAATAATAATTATTTACTAAAAAATAATATATATTTAAACAATATCGATTTATCTATATTTATTTCAAAAAATTTAAATATTAATATTTTAAATAACAATGTATAATTGCAATGACAAGTAATGTATATTTAAACATATTATAATTAAAATAGATCATTACAAAATATAGTGAGATACTTCAAAAGAATTGATAAATGATGAGATGTAAGTTGTGACACTCATTTTCGTCCATATATTTTTTTATTTATTTTTATTTATATATATATATATATTATAATTTTCAAACGGTTTTTGAAAATACGTATATAATATATAGTTTCTAAAAATATTTTGAAAATGTATATAATATATAGTTTTTAAAACACTTTTGAAAACTATATAATATATAGTCTTTAAAACATTTTAGAAAATATATATAATATATAGCTTTTTGAAAACATTTTTTAAAACTTATATAGTATATGGTTTTTGAAAATATTTTTTAAAACTTATATATAATTTTTAAAACAATTTTTGAAAATTATATAGTTTTTTAAAACATTTTTGAAAATTATATAGTTTTTAAAAACATTTTTAAAAATTATATAGTTTTTAAAAAACATTTTTAAAAATTTATATATAATATATAGTTTTTAAAAGAAATAGCTTTAAAAATGTATATTATATATTTTTTTTAAAAAAATTCTTTTTAAATTATTATTATTATTATTATTATTATTATTATTATTATCATCATCATCATCACTTATTTATTTTTATTTTTTTCATGTAGGGTATAATGAAACGGTCCAATAACAGTCCAATCAGATTTGGGCCTGATTTAGTTCGTTGAAGTTTAGGGTTTGGAAACCCTAGTCACACATCACGGTCAAGCGCCGCAACAGAGAAATAGAGAGCCAATCAAGGGACGTCACAACGGCACGCTATTTTCGGCCGGGAAAATCGGGACTGACCCATATCGAAATCCCTGATCAACGACAAGTGTAACCACGAAGATCGGAACCGTGCACCGCTGGTGGATACCCCTACCAAGCCAACGCAAAAAGGACCACAGTACACAGAGAGAGCCATCGACCAACAAATCAAACCACAAAACAAACATCGAGTACACACGAGAACCATCAACAACCGAGAACAAAACGGTGAGAACCAAACAAAACCCATCAAACACAGTCAAAACCAAAAGAAAAACAAGCAACAGTGAGCAAAACCCACATGCAAAAACAATAAAAACCAAAACATCAACCACAAAGCCACGAAAGGCCATCGGGAGCCGGAGAGTCGCCGGAACTCAAGAGGCGCAGGTCTTAAAGGGTAAAAAACTGGAATTTTGCCTTTAGATCTGCATCGATGAGGGCTTCGTTGTGAGAATCAGACGGTGGATTTGTGTGTGGGGTGGTGTGAGGATCATTTTTGGGTTACGGTCTTCTTTTCAGTCGCCACCGACAGCGGTCCTGTGGCTGGCCATCCCTCAGGTGGGGATATGCTAGAGAGAAGCGAGAGAACCATAGGTTCTCTCTTTTTGTAGAGAGAGAGAGAGCTATTGGTAAGAATGAAGAGAGTTAGGTTGTTTGGCCTTGGAATCATGTACTTTATGGCATACCAAAACTACGTCGTTTTGGACCCTAACCCGCGTTTTTTATAAAAAAAAAGGGTAAACTATGTTTTTGGTCCCCCTAATTTACAGTTAATTCATTTGGCTCCTTTTTTTTATCTTTTACTTCGAATTCCTCTTAATTTCACCCCTGGTTTCGCTATTATTTCAGTTTAGTCCTTTTGTTTTATTTTATATTATTCTATTTTATTATTTTGTTATTTAATTGATATTACTTTTATATTATATATTTTATTTATTTCATTTTTTCGTATTATATTATTTACTCATTTTTTTCTTTTTGTTTTATTTCCTTTTTTATTTATTTTATTTTCTTTTTTAAACTAACCTTCTTATTTTTTATTATTTTCTTTTTCTTTTTTACTAACTTTTGTTTATTTTTGTCATTTATTTTATTTTGTTATTATATTATTTTCTTTTTCTTTTTTACTAATTTTTATTTTATCATCTGACATTTTTGATATTTTCAGTCGTAAATTCTATCAATCAAATGTAAGCAATTTGAATCGAATATTTTAAATTTAAATTTTTTATTTTCGCAATTAAAGACAACCGAAAAATTAATTGGTACCGAAAGGGCAGTTCAAGTGTGCTAATCCTTCCTTGAACGTAACCGACTCCCGAATTCGACATGTTTATGGTATAACGCAGATCAGGTAAGATGGTGTCCGACCCACCTAAATTCGTTTTAAAATGGTCGGTGACGACTCTAACCCACTCATTTCAAGTCGAAGCCCAACTCCAGGCCCAACCGAAAGACGGTCGCGACATAAGTATAAGTCTAAAGATATTTACACATGATTTATATTATACCGAAAAGATAATTTACACATGATTTATACAAAATAAAAATTGAATCTAGGCACATAAATATTTATATAATGTTTAATTATCAATCATTTTTAAATAAATATTATTTTGTAATCATTTTAAATTATTAAAAAATAAGATCAATATGTATTTAAATATATTTAAATCAACAGAGATGTAAATTAAATTTATATTTGATTAGTTAAATGATTGGTTTTTTAAAATTAAAAACAATATTTTTTAATGGTTTATATATGCCAACTCATTCGTATATAATATTGAGTGAGAATTGAAAATATATACCATTTAAATTAATTATATTATTCCGTATATACTATTGATTGGTAACGGACTCTCTTCAGTCAAAGGTCAAAACCCAATCACGCTGCGCCGCAAGCAACAGCTACCGCCGATACAATTGACGTCGCATAAAAAAATAAACCGGAAAAGGGGGGAAAAGCCGACGCTAAGAGTCAAAACTCGGTCTTAGCTTGCACTTTACGACACTCGGATTTGAGTGTAAAGCTGTGAAATCACCCAATCTATTTGTATCCCCACCTTCGACAATAACCTCTCGCGCAACCATGGTTTCATACTCTCTTTGCCTTTCGTTTTAGGGTTTGACCCCACAATCTCTCTTTGTTTTCATGTACAACACTAGGAGAGAGCCCTGCTTCAGAGAGAGAAACCTTGAGAAGAGGAAGTAAAACAAAAAGGGTCTGAAGGAGCTTTTCCAGGTTTTGTTGAGCTCCAAATAGATGGGGGCTCTGGGTCCAGTCGTCCCCCCTTGGATACCTGAAGATGACCTCTTGTTGAAGAACGCTATTGAGGTATATACTTCTTTTTTACTTGTTTTTTGAAGGGGGGAGATATAAGTGTTTTGGTACTTTTTTGAGGTTTTTTTATTGTTCTAGCCTCACATTCGATTTTTTTTTTTATTTCTTGTTAATTCGGATATACCTATATATTCGTGTTTTCTTTGATTTTTTTAGTAGCTGAAAGTTAATGATTTTTGTTTTCTTGCCTCTTCTATTTTATTATTTGTTATTAGAATGTTTGAGCTTATTTGACCGTATCTTTTTTTATATATATATTGGTACCGTTGAGTATGAAATATTTGCAATACAAGGCGTTTTTCACTAATGAGTTAGAAGATTATTGCATTTACATTTATGAAGATAAGGAATCTAGCACTTATATTATGGTTGCAATATCTGTCAATGGAGAGGATTACCATGTTGAAAATATAGTACTTGTAAACATTGTCTAGTCTGTGTCAAAGTGTTAAATTTGGAACTGCAACCTATTTTATGGACATCACTGATGAATTAGATTCTATTCATGAATGGAAGTTTGTAACTTTACTAGACAGCATGAATATTGATTAACCTGGAATGCGATCTAAATCGTTCAGTAAGCAAGAAGTTATCACCTCAACGCTAATTCAATTTTCTATGGTTATGTTTGTACGCTGGTGATGTATCATTATATTTCTTCATATCTGTTTTCAGGCTGGTGCTTCTCTGGAATCTCTTGCGAAGGGTGCAGTGCAGTTCTCTAGAAAATTCACAGTTAGAGAACTGCATGGTCGATTGCATTCTCTCCTTTATAATCCAGTTATTTCTAAGGAGGCTTCATCTCACATGATTGAGTCTGAATGTTCTGCTTCTAGCACAGCAAACGATAGCAATAGTTTGCCTGGGAAGAGAAAGTCTGAGAGTGTAGGTAGTAGTTACGATGCATTGTGTAAAAGAATTCGAAATGATCCCTTTAACTCAATGGATCCGAGTTTACTTGTTGAACCTAATGATAGCAACTCTATTGGGCTTGAAGATGAGCCTTTACCTGGAAATCCAATCTCAGATCATTTCGTGGTTCAAGAAACAAATGTGAATGTCATGCATTGTTCTTTTCCTCAAATACAGGAAAGTCCTCAAATACTTGGAGAGAATCAATTTCTTGTTGAGAGTGGCTCTGGTACAGAGGAATTGCAAGAATCCAAGGAATTTTCTATGCACAGTTTGCTAGAGAATAATGATAAAGAGAATATTTGCTCTTGGTTTGAGGGTAACCAGATCTTCAACTCATTAATTGTGGAGCATGGTTTGTCAATTTGGAGAACTGATGAAGGCTTCTCTGCATCAGCTATTCCTGCTGATGATGGTCTTGGGCAAACAGTCCTTCACGGAGGAGATATATGTGCACCACCCGGCGATGGTGTTGCAAAGAGCAATCATGTATCAGGACATAATGCTGTTGGTACAGATTCCCAGATTGAATCAGAAATACTATGTGAGGCTTCAGAAAATACAATGGCTGATACTGAAGGTTATTTGATGGAAATAACCAATACCCTTATGAATGATGAACCTTTTTTATTGGATGCTGATGCAAAAGATGTGATTGATAAGTCTTTCTTTGAAGGCTTGCGCTCACTTTTGGCAAGTTCACCAAACAACGGTGATCAAGATCAGATGACCGAATCAATGACAATTGAAACTCAAGTTAATCTTGCAAAAGTTTCTTGTTCAAGCCTCAGAGAATCAGATGAAGTTGCAGGATCTCGCCCTGAGGATGGGCCTGTCTCTTGCAATTCAGATGTCCTAAATCTTTCTTCTTGCGCTTTAAACAGTGAGGATCCGGAAATTCCATGCAATGAAGATGTTGACTTCCCCAAACAGCTATGCTGATTGACTGTTTCCTCAGCACGACACAAGGAACCTGGCAATCCATTATCTGCATGCATGAAAGATTTTTCTCGGGGTCAGAAAGCTAGTGAGAGAGGTCCCATCCTGGTTCAGAGAGATAAAATAGATCCTGGGCAATCACATGGATCTTCTCAAATAAAAGGATCACATATGATACCAAGTTGGTCAACTCCATGCAGTAGTTAAATGTGAGGATTACCCGTGTGTAGCTCCTAGAGTTGATGGTTTTCTATCCAATGCTTCAGCCCAAAGTAATTCCATTAATGCTAGTGATGGCACTTTCCCACCAACACTGCCAAAGGAAAATAGTGAAGAAAATTTACTGGGAATGCATACGAATCATAGTTCAGCTAATTCTATAACAGGGAAACATGCTCTTTGTTCTGATAACCACAACAGTTTCCCACTGGTGAATCCTTCTTCCATAAAACGAGAAGTGGATGCTCTACAAACGATTATTTCTCCAGAACCAGTTACATATTGAAAGTGATGATAATGTTCCTCATTACTCAGTCGGTGAGGCAATGTTATGTCATTAAATTCCGATGGTTGTTACCTCTATTATTGTCATCATTATTAACTCCCATTTTATTTCTTGTTTTTATGATTTTATGAACTGATCCTTGATATGGACTTGTATCCAGATGACAAAGATTTGTGTGATCAGGAAGGTAACTAGTCAACCCACTAAGATGAATTGCTAACTTTTACTTGCATCTATCAATTTTCTTCTTTGGTAGTATGGTGACTCTTGTTGTTACTTTTTTTTCACCTCTTTTATCATTAGCAGAAGAATCAAGAGATAAAGGAATAGTTTGTCATATATATATGCTTATGCATCTCCACCTGTTTTGGGTTCAGATTTTCTCTCTCTAATATTGAATATTGTCTTTATTGGTGAAGAAAATATATTACTTCTCACTGTGCAGTTACAAAATATCAGCATGTGGACAGAATAAGAGCAATTATGAGGCTGGAACAGGCTTACCGTTCTTTCATGCAGAGGGACATTGCATCCCATGGAGCCTATAAAGCCGCAATTTCAATCATTATTATATTAAGAAACATGAGGTATTCTAAGAATTTCCCTTTTTTAAGCTTTCGTACTATATCCTTACTTTTACCATTCTTCTCATCAATGTTGCCTTTACCATTTGAATGATACTTTCTAGAATACTGCTATGTTATTGTTATATTTAGGTGGGGTTCTTAATCATACACTTGAGTGAGTACCTAGTTATCTATGAAATGCTTATTGGTATTCGTTTAAGCCAAAGACTGGATAAATAACTATTCCTGGTTAGGAAACTATATCGTCTAGGGAACCATCTTGTATTTTGTTCTTCATTTGGTCACTTCAACATAATTCCATGGTTTCATTTTTGGAGCTTTGCGCTTTTAAGCTAATAGAGTTTATAGTTTTGATGGGTTTTATTTTTCTTTAATGCTTTACACTTCTAATTTTGTAGACTTTACTTGGTAGAACGACAGAAGATTTCATTGTTGACATTGACTTGAGAAGACAAGGATGTGCAAATACAGTGTCAAGGCAGCAAGTAAGATAAACCATGTCTTTATATAAGTACTACCACTTGAACGGTTGCTATTAACATGTAATACTACTTCTGTGGTTCCCCTCATATATTTAGGCAATCATCAATATGGAAGAAGATGGATCTTTCCATCTTAAAATTCTTGGCAAATGCTTGATATGGATAAAGGAGAATAAAGTAGCTCGTGGGCAAAGCCTGGGCCTTAAATCTGGAGATGTGATCCTGGTATTATTTTTATCTTTCTTTCGTAAATATATGGTAACAAGTATTGGACATCGTGACATGCCTACTTCATTGCAGTAGACCTCTTGTTTTTCATGCTCAAGTTCATCTATAAATGTTTAGAGAAATGTTAAGCTGAAAGTGGCTGTTTTGCAGATAAGGGGGATCCCATTAATCTTCGAGACGAACCAGAATTGTGTGAGGCAGTATTTGAATGGCGTGGCAGAAAAAAAGTTGAGCTCGGGAACCCCATGTTAGAACTGTGCTGTATGTGCAATTTGGTCACCTTTGTTTAGTGGTAGTCTCATGTAATTACTAATTATAAGTTGGAAAGAAATAGCTTTATAGTAGGCAGAATTGAATCTATCGATCCAATTGGTTACTCTGCTAAACTCATCTCTTTCATGGAACCTCCTTTTTTTAAACACCTCCGACAATTCTTTCTCCGGCTCACTTCCGGACTCTTTCTCCAATTTAACTCGCTTGCATCGACTCGGTCTCTCCGGGAACCAACTCTCCGGTAAAATACCTGCCATTCTTGGCTCACTCCCTCACCTTCAACTTTACCTTTACAACAACCATCTCCATGGACCCATTCCTTCAAGCTTTAACAACCTAACACGCCTGAGATGACTTAAAATCCAACGAAACTATATTTCCGGTGAGATTCCCGATCTCGGTTCACTCAAGAGCCTTTACTTTCTCGAAGCAAGTGATAACAACATATCTGGTTGAGTCCCAGTCCCATCGATGTTGCCATTATCTCTTGTCGAGCCCTTAATGAGGAACAATAAACTAAGAGGAAATATTCCCAACAAACATCGACAATATTAGATTCTCTTTATGAAAGATTTTTAATTTGATAATTGTTTAAACTAATAAAGACAACTTTGGGGCGGCAAACACTTTCCATGCGTTTAATACCTTCGTCCTTTGACAGTGCTTTTAAAAAAACCTATTTAAACGGCTAAATCAATTCCAAACTTTGAGATCAAATGGTGGTCGAGCATTCAGGAAATTGGGCAAGCAAGGAGGTGGTTCCCATACATAGATGTATGCATAGCATGGTTTTCCAAAACTTTTCAAGGCAGCATTCAGTGGCAGCAGGGGACATTTATGTTAAACTTCCTGAGGGTACACTAGTAGGTGGTCCAACTGCTGCTCATCAAAAAAGTGGGTTGGTTAGATCTCCACAGCTTCATGGATGCAATAAAAGCTTTCCAATATTTTCATATTCTTGTAAACGAAAATAGATTGATTCATTTTCATATTCTTTTAATAGTATGCAACTGCTAAAATCCAGATATTCTATAGAGAACAATATTTTGCTTATCAAATTATATATATATATAGATATATATATATATATATATGTATTTTTAATTTGTGCAATTATTGTCAATATATACTATTAAACTCATGGAAATATGGGTCAAACTTGTGTCAATTAATTCTTCATTTAATTTTATGAATAGGTCTTATAGATGCATATGGTGATAATTAAAAATAATAATGGATAGAGTTGTTGATGGCATTCTAGCTGTCCTATTTGATGGCAACTGGATGGAGGATTAGATTGCTGAATCTGACTGCAGCGAAGGATGTTAAATATGTAACTGAACAGCCCTTAGGAATAGCAAATGGGTGTGTCGGTTCTTTTTCCTCTCGATTTCAAGACTTCATCATGATTAATTTAAATTATTGTATCATACATTTAATTTTGATGGATGGACCTTCAAGTGAGTATATTTTTCATACACAAAAATTTAAATTTAAAACATTATTTAAGTGATATCAAATTAACTTATTACTTGAACTAATCCTGTTGGTGCTAATATGTTGATTTTTAATGTTATACTCTTCAGCCACCAAAGATCCTTTGTTCCCCATTCACCCACATCCCCTTTCTGCATGACACGCCTAATATTATAGTTTCAGAGGAATTATATCTGAATTTTATCATTGAAGAAGTTAAAAATATAATTTACCATGTATTAATATGTAAAATTATATATATTCTTAGAGGGGTAGATGAATAATCTCCCATTTTATGCGGAGCAATGGCTCTCTATCAGTGCCCGGTTTCACCCTGGTTCTATCCCTTTGTCTTTAATAGACTTTGTATTTATAGCTCATTGCTCGCTTATAAAAAAAATAGTCACTCAGTTTTTTTATATTCTTAATTTGAACACTCAACTTTAAATATTTGAGTGGAGAGTCAATGCTAATATTTTTGTGAAGAAAGAGATGACTTTTAAGGAGGAAGATGAAGGCGACGAGGTACAGGTGTAAAGGCTCCAGTCCCTTGTTCAAACTTGATGGAGGATACTTATAGTGGTAATTTAAGTACCATAGGATAATCATGTCTATTTCTAGTTAGGTAGGTATGGTAGTCAAACTTTGGATTTCATTCTATTGTATATGTGGGTTTGTCAAAGATCTTGTCTACGCACTGTAGTTAATTAGAAGTGTAACACCCATAGCCCGTATACGTCTCAAAATATGAGTTAAAAATGTCACATCAATTTTACTAATATTCACTGATCATAAATTCTTAAAATTTTGTTACATTATAAAACATTACATTATTAACTTTACAATTATTCCATTAATCGTGTAAAATCATAAAATAATAATTATCATATAAATCAAGTTTAATTTTAGGCAAAAGTTTAGTAGTTCAATAGTAAACAATACTGCTTAAAAACTGCCTAATTTTAAAATATTTCTTTGTTCTCGTAAAATATAATTTTTATCTAAAATATAAAACTTCGATTCATATTTATAACCCTAATAATATATCTTAGACATTTCTTATTCATATACATGTCATCTAAAATATTTCTTTGTTCTCGTAAAATATAATTTTTATCTAAAATATAAAACTTCGATTCATATTTATAACCCTAATAATATATCTTAGACATTTCTTATTCGTATACATGTCATCTAGGAAATTTAAAAGAGTAGGATGCCATTACTGATACATATATTTATTCTTTGTTGATTGATGCCAACTCGACTCCTTGCCCTTCTTTACTTACGCTTGAAAATCATCACACGTTAAATATTAACTTAGTGAGACATTAGAAACAAACTAAGGTGACATAAAATGTTAAACAACTTAACAACATCATAACATTATTTTTCTTTATATAAAACCTAACTTAAAATATCATAGCAATTCAAAACATTAAACTTAAATTCAAAGAAAATCATTAAATATCCAAACCGATTTATTCAAGTCGTCTTTCCTTATCAGAAACATGAAAATCATCATCTCGTGATTTTTTCAAAAGCATGATAATCAATAATAAACATAACAATCGTGTCATATTCTATTTCATTCAAATATTTTTCATAACTTTCTTATTTTATTCTCATTTTCCACTTTCATATTCATTCACATACTCATTTTCATATTTCATGCTCATAATAAATACTTTCGCATTTCAAAATTTATTTTCTGAATCAGAACTTATTTTCAAATTCGTAATCCAATGCATATTTATGAGAATGCAAGGTATGTGGGTAGAACATAAGGTGCACACAGGGCACATTACAATTTCAGTCTTAACTGAAACATATAATGCACTCCAAGTGCAATCATAACATGAGCACCAACGGTGCAGATCATGTACTCGAATGTACCATAACTTAAATTGAAAGTACTCAACTTAATGACATGTTAAATGTACCTACGACTCTCAGTGCAACATACAATGAGTTTTTCCATTAATTATTATATATTATTCAATTATCAAAGATATTAATATATCGACATATCCAACTCTTCATATCATAACATAATGGGCACTTATACTATAGCAAAACTGATTTTTTACGGTGTTTTTTTTAACATATAGCGGCGTTTCGCTAAAAACACCTGCGGCGTTATGACAAACGCCGCAAAAAGCACCACTGAAAATAGCGCCGCTAAAGTTCGCGGCATTTGTTATCGAAAAACGCCGCAATAGGTGACGATATATAGCGGCGTTTGCAATAGGTGTTGATATTTAACGGCATTTGTCTTACAAATGCTACAATAGGTGGTGGTGTTTAGCGGCGTTTTTCCCACAAACGCCGCAATAAGTGTTGAGATTCAGCAGCATTTTTCTCACAAACGCCACTATAAGTGTTGAGAATTAGAGGCGTTTTTCTCAAAAATGCTGCAAAAGGTTTTGAGATTTAACGGCGTTTGTAACAAAAAATGCCGCAATATACCATACATTTAGAGGCGTTTTTGGATACAAACGTCGCGAAAGGTCCGATATATAGCGGCATTTTTATGCTACAAACGACGCTAAAGGTCTAGTATATAGTGGCGCTTGTATCCTAAAACGCCGCTAAATGTATGATATATTGTGGCATTTTTTGTTACAAACGCCGCTAAATAACACATAATTTAACCAATAAAAAAATTTTGTTCGATTACCCCAAATCTATTTTTTCACCATGTTCCATTATCCAACAAACAAAACAACAATAACATCAAACTCTATATCCATAACAAGCAACATCAAATTCAATATAATAAATAAAAGTTTTCATTAATGTAATATAAGTTCAGTTAAAGACGATTCAGTAACATTAATAGAATGCTCATAACATAAATGAGACTACGATGGTGGATTCTGAGGTTACGTTTTTTGTATTATCTGCATCATATCATTGAGTCGTTTTTCAAATTCTTCACATCTCTGCTGATATGATGCTTCTCTCTGTGCTGTCGCTGCTTCTCTCTCTGCTTCCGTTACTGCTCTGGCTGCTTTCGATGCTGCTTCCCTTGCTTCATTTTTCGCTTTCAAGTTAGCCATTTGTTGATCCATCTCAGCCAACTTTTCTTTTAAACAACTAACTTCTAATTGGGAAGATCGAGACGTGATGACATGTACTGTGATGAACTGGATCCAAAATATTTTGTGGGAGTAACGAATGATCCTTGACAGCGCACCCGACCATATCTTTCAGGACCCAAAACATCATTAATAGCTTGGTTTTCAATGTCATCATCATTAACAATACAATGACTCGAAGCAGTAGCATGATATTTCGCCCTTTTCTCTCTCAATTTTTCCTAATAATAAAGTTAATAATTAATTAAAATAAAAAATGTCATGGTACAAATATAAATAAAGTCAGGTAAATTTAAAACATATACCCAATAAACGTACCATAATTTATGCATCGTCAACAGTCATAGGAGTGTCATCATTCTTCGTATGTGTCATGTCGAAGAGTTGGATTCGACCAACTTTAGAACCAGATGTATTTTCCTACAATGTACCATAATATAATTAGTATGAGTTAGTATGTAAATGGAATACAAAAAACTATGTCAATAA